CATGGGCTCCAGAGATCAAATTCAGGTTGTCAGGCTTGTGCAGTAAGCCCCTTTACCTGCCAAAACATCTCACTCATCCTATCCTCAACTTCTAAGCCCCAAGATCCTTTGTATATCTCATAGCTCAATAAATGCATTCATATGGCACAAAAGGAACTATATGTTGGGTGGCTTTTCCTGCTACATCATTTCACTGCTGCCTCTCCAGGGCTCACTGCAAAGCTGTTCCCTAGACAGCCACCAAAGACCCTATGCAAGGGTTATCCCAAATTATTTGTGCAAATTCTTGTTCCTTGCGCTGGATAGTTTTACGACAACTTGACACAAGCTATGTTCATCTGAGAGGCGGATCCTTGATTAAAAAAAATAATGCTTCCATAAGATTGGAGTCTAGGCAAGCCTGTAGAGCATTTTCTTAATTAAGTGATTGATTGGGTGGTGCCACCCCTGGGCTGGTGGTCCTGGATTCTATAAGAAAGCAGGCTGAGTAAGTCATGAGGAGTAAGCTAGTAAACAGCATCCCTCCATGGCCTCTGCATCAGCTGCTGCCTCCAGGATCCTCTCTGCTTGAGTTTCTGTCCTGACTTCCTTCAGTGATAAACAGTGCTGTAGAAGTGTAAGCTGAACAAACCCTTTCCTTCCCAACTTGCTTTGGTCATGGTGTTTTGTTGAAGCAATAGTCACCCTAAGTCAGCCCTGTTAGTCTGGGCCTTCCCAGCTGCAGAATGACGGGGTGTTGACGGCTGGAGATTCCAACAGGTGGTTCACTTAGCTAGTGATCCATTCTGTTTCTTGGATTATAGCATGGCCTCTCCCACATTCCTCTCTGGGACAGATGAGCTGATTTCCACTTCCGATGCTTTTTATCTCAGAGTTCTTCAAGGGGCTAAGAACTGCATAATGTAGTCACAGTTCAAAGTCACCCCACACTCCTCACTCCATTAACCTCAATAGCAGGGCCTTTGGAGACCAGGTCCGAATTGAAGCTGTGCACTTCCTGAGAGAAAGGCTGAGAAATGTTTGCAGTTCTGAATTTTGGTAATTTATATTCTGTATTCCATAGCACATAATTGAGTTCAAATATTCTGGCAGTTATTTGATAAGTTTTTTTTTTTCATATTCTCACCTTGATTTCCACACACAGCCTTCCACCACAACATATACTTTTCTACAAAGATTTGAAATAAAAATTTCCATCTAGTCTATAAAGTAACATGCCTAAATTCCATTTTTTAACAATGTTTTAGAAACATGCACATAGGAGTTTGTTACAGGCATGGCTAAGATTTTACTAACTGATAGAATAAATGCCTTGGTCACAAGACAGGATTCCTGCTAATGATCTTGCTGGGCCAGACTCTAACAGGGAGGGAGCAAAGAATGCGGAGCTGGAGCCCCTAGCCCCCTGTGGCTGCATGATGCACAGTCACCATCGTCCTGCACCCGGAAACGCCCTGGCGCCCAGTGGCTGCATCCTAAGCCAGGGAAAGAGCAACTGCAGAACTGCCCTAGCCTCTTATGGGTGTGCTTGCACCCCTCATCCACCACTATAAAGAGACACCACCAGCCTTTCTCCACGCAGGCATTCCTTTTCCCGTGGCAGAGTGTCTGTCCTTCCCTGTTTTGGTCTATGGAAACCAGGCTCTAGTCTCTTTTCCTGTCATTGGTCTCTCTATGCTGCCTAACAAATCTAACACCAACACATTCCATTTTTCTCTCTCAGGTTTCCACATATCTCCCCATTTGAGAGTACATTGATTTGATCTTGGATGCTGACAAAAATCTCTGAAGAAAAATCATCAATTTTCCTACCCACTTTGATTTGTTACTACTTAGGATCACTAAGTTAAAAAAAAAGTCTGTACTCACCAGACCCTGTCCAATTGCTTGAGATAGAAAATGTGACCGAGATTACATTAGCAAAGATATTGTTTATTGATTCCCGTAATGATGAAGCCTAATGTACGCTTCAGGCAGTTTGCCTCTAGAGGCTCATCACATGCTCTCACCTGTCCTAATTTCTTTCCATTTCTTAGCTCTGCCTCCATTGAGTTAGTTTCTCAGGGAGGCCAATTTGTCTCTCTTGTGGCAAGGTAGCTGGTAGCAACTTCCAGGGCACATGTACTGTGCTTCTGCTAATCATCCCCCAAAGAGATTCTTGCTGCGCTCCTAAAACTAATTTTGAAAATGTCCCCTGATTGTATCTCATAGGCTATAATTGGATAGTCATCTCTCTCACCAAGGATCTCTGGCCAACTCATAGGCAAGTGGTGTCCTGATTGGATAAGAATGCGACTGGCAAAGACGATACCATGTACATATGGCTTTCAGTAACAGTGTGATAAAGGCCTTTTCCAGGTCTGGTTAAGCAGCTGCAGCAGGAGAGTGGTCCTTTGTGAGGTTCCTGCCAGGGCAGTGCAAAGAAGACACCTCAGGGCAAACGTTCTGCCCATTGTCTGTCTGGACTCGCATCTCTCCTCCTGTAAGAATGCTTTGAACGTTAAGACCTGGTGGTTTGAATGGTAATGCTCCTTATGTGTTTGAGGACTTTGTCCCCTGCTAGAGGCATTATTTTCCATAGCTGTGTACTCTTCAGGAAGTGGAGCCTTGCTGGAGGCGGTGAGTCATGGGAGGAGGGGCTTGTGGTTTGGTACCCTGCCCACTTACGCTTCTGTGGTGCCTGGTGCTCCTGGTGCCATGCCGTTTGGGCCAGGATGTTCCGTGCATTTATAAGTTAAGTAAAGCTTTCCTTCCCAACTTTGAGCTTCTGCTTTTGGTTTTGGTCACAGCAACAAGGAAAGTAACCAATATACATAGATCCCTTTTAGGTAGAGATTTGAGACAGTCGTCTTTTGCCTTATTTAGGGCTGGTTTTGAATAAACTTATTTTCTTCCACCAACTTCTGTCTCTGTGTCTTCTGTGGTGTGGTGGGAAGTGTGGACCTCAGATTCTGGTAGCAAAAAGATAAGCAAAATGTTTAAATAGTTTCTTTAAAAAGGAGCCAGTGGATTCCTTTACTCTCTGTTTTTGGAAGCGATAACAACACTGGCCAAGAAGAGCCAAACAATAGCCATGGGAGCAGGGGTGCACTTCTTGCCGGAAGCTGTGGAAAACAAAGAAGAGACCAGTTAGAGGTGAGGGGGGGGGTGCGGCGGCGGGCTTTAAAACGTTTTTAAAGCGGGTGTGGTGACACACGGCTTTAATCCTAGCACTTGGGTGCCAGAAGCAGGTGGTTCTCTGGGTTCAGGGCCCACATAGCAAGTTCCAGGCCAGCCAGGGCTACGTAGTGAGGTACTGCCTCTAAATAAACAAATAAAAATAAATATTTTTACACACACACACGTACACACTTGAGATGGGGTCTCACAATGTAGTTCTGGCTGGTCTGGAACTTGCTATGCAGATAAGTAGCCCCTAACTCACAGAGATCTACCTGCTTCTGCCTCCTGTGCAAGATGTAGTTTCATTTTGAAATCCGAGTGCATGCCTCCGTGCTTGTGTGGGAGCATGCACACATGAGTGTAGGTGCCCATACAGGTGGCTGTGAGACACTAGTTATGTGTGCTGGGAACCGAACTGCATTCTTCTGACAGAGCGGTGGCAACTCCTCACTGATAAGCCTTCTCACCAGCCCCAGCAGCAGAGAATCTTCTTTGTGAACTAGCTCATTTCTTATTCATCAGTTTAACACAATAACTTCCCAGTGGAGACATTTGAAGTCAGTTACTTTAAAAAATCAAAATCAAAACAACTCTCCATTGTGGTTTGAATGTAAATACCCCCACGTGTTGTGTTCTTACACTCAGTGCCCTGAAGGTGGTGCTGTTTTGGAAGGTATGCGAACCCTTACTCATTGTGGGCGGGCCTCATTGTGGGCGGGCCTCATTGTGGGCGGGGCTTCCAGCTTTATAGCTTGGCCCAATTCTGTCTGCTTTGTGTTTCCTGAGCACCTAGTGTGAGAAGCTGCGTTATACTCTCGCCATAGCGCCTTCCACACTGTGATGGACTGCATCTCCCCAAGCTGTAAGCCCAAAGAAACCATTCTCCCTTAATGTATTTTGTTGTAGTATCAAGAAAAGGAACCAACCAAAAAAGGAACAGCATCCTCTTAGGTTTCTGACTCAGAGAACATAAGTTATTCTGCATAGGAGAGAGAGGCACCGGAAGAGGTCCAGAGACTTTCTCAGTCTCCTGGTCATCATCATCAACGTCATCATCATTGTCATCATCAATCATCATCATCATCGTCATCGTCACCATCACCATCATCACCATCATCATCATCTTCATCACCATCATCAGCAGCAGCAGCAGCAGCAGCATGACTCCACCCCCATCATCGCTGTCTTTATCATCATCTTCATCACTGCCATGACAGTTAATGTTTGATTATTCTGGATCTGTTTTGAACCCTTAGCATGGAAAACGTGTGTTAATGCTTCTGTGTGGGCATGTGTGTAAATGCCAGTGCACATGTACATTTCCAGCACACAGGAAATGCTCAATGAATATATACAGGATGCATGACTTCTAGCTGTTGCTACTACATTGGACACAAAAGTGACATCACCACCCTATCCTGTCCATCCTCTTCAGCCCTTTTCATAATAATTAGGATAATAATTTTTATTATTTTTTAACTGTGGCATGTGTGTGTGGTGCCTGGGTATGTACAGGTGAGTGCTGGTACCTGAGGAAGCATCAGAGGCATTAGAACCCCTGGAACTGGAATTATAGGTAGGTAGTTGTGAGCTGGCTCATAAGGTTCAGGAAACCAAACTCAGGTCCTTTGCCAGAGACCAGTACAAGATCTTAACTCCTGTGTAGTTTGTATGCAATTGGCCCCTATAATCTCATAAGGAGTGGCATTATTAGGAGGTGTGGCTTTGTTGTGGTGGGTATGGCCGTGTTGGAGGAAGTGTGTCATTGTGGGGGTGGGCTTTGAGGTTTCCTATGCTCAGTGTTGCATTTGACTTCCTGTTGGCTGCAGCTCCTTCAGCACCACATCAGTGTGCATGCCCCCATGCTCCCTGCTGTGATGATAATGAACTGAACCTGTGAAACTGTAAGGGAACCACCTCAATTGTTTCCTTTGTAAGAGTTGCCGTGGTCATGGCGTCTCTTCACAGCAATAGAACACTGACTAAGACAACTGCTGAGCTGTCTCTCCAGCCCCCAATTTCTATTTTTCATGCCATCCTCCCAGGTTAAATTAACTTTTCCTTCCTGTTAATCTTTAGAGTAGTCCCTAGCAAAAAGTGGGCACTTAGAAGGTACTAGACCTCCTCTGTGTCTGTCGGTCTGTCTGTCCTTACGGTCAATCTCACTAAAGCACGTGTTTATACCGTTAACCCATTATCCCTCCTCCATGTGCAAAGGACTTCCCAGTTTCTTGCTTCTGTGTGAGTGGACACCTAAGCCATGTCATCTCCACAAGTCGGCACTGCCTCCTTTTCATAAGCAGAGTAACCAGCTCAGAGGTTCAGGCATCGGCACAAGGCCTCAGAACTGCTGACACACCCTGACTCCAGAGTCTACTCACTTTTTACCCCACAGGTCAGATTCAGTTCTTTCACAGACCTGGTCTCACCCTAGAGCTCACTATGTAGTTCAGGCTGGGCTTGAACTTGCAGCAATCCTTCTGCCTCAGCCTCCCCTATAGTGTGCCAAGATTAGTCATCAGACACTATAAGCAGCTAAATTATTTGTTCTTTTTACTCAGTCCCCTGAGACAATCACTCTGTGTCAAGGTCAGTGGTACACCACAGGCAGGAGGAAGATGCTTCCAGAGAACTGAAGCCCAGGGCTGTTGTAGAATATTATTTTAAGGTGTGATACTTTTGTTTATGTTGCATTTGTTTAACTCTGCGAAGTTGTGTTACTGTGCCTGTGTACAACACCTGATGGTCTAATAAAAAGCTGAATGGCCAATAGCAAGGCAGGAGAAAGGACAGGCAGAGTTGGCAGGCAGAGAGAATATATAGCAGGAGAAATCTGGGGGTAAGAAAAGAAGAAGAGGAAGGAGCAAGAGAAGGAGGATCATAGGGGCCAGCCACCCAGCCACCCAGCCACCCAGCCAGCCATGGAGTAAGAGTGAAAGTAAGATACACAGAAGTAAGAAAAGGAAAAAGCCCAGAGGCAAAAGATAGATGGGATAATTTAAATTGAGAAAAGCTGGCTAAGACAAGCCAAGCTAAGTCCTAGTGTTCATAATAAAGACTAAGCCTCCGTGTGTGATTATTTGGGAGTTGGGTAGCGGGCCCCCCAAAAGAGACAAAACAAACAACAACACAGAGTGAAAGGAACCGGGGAAGAGCCGTACTGGAGCTCGATGTTTGAGCTCTCCCAGGGTCAGAGGGCCTGCTAAGGGCCTTTCCACACATTGTCATTTCTTCTCATCAGAATCTTATAGGGTGAGTTTAAATAATAGCTTCCCTTTTCCACGCAGAGCAACAAGTGCAGAGACTAAGCCACTCCCCCAAGACCACGACACTATTGCTCTATTGCTTGTCACTGGCAGAGGTCACAGGTAAAACTAAGCTGCTACAAACAGCTGGCTTTGTTTTTCTAGAAGCATGCCAAGGATTTTGATGATTTGAAATATTTTGACATAAATCCTTCTTTGTAAATCCAGCAATAAAGAGCAGATTGTGTGGTGTGTGTGTATGTGTGAGCGTATGCATCTGTGTGTGGCACACATTGTTTTGCTGAAAGGAATTACTTAAGAGAGAAAAACAAATTAACATTCTGTTGGCATAGTTTGGATCTTTTAATAAACATGAAAACATGTTACTATGGTAACCAGTACAGCTCACGTGAGGGGTAACAAAGTAATTACAAGGGAGACAGGGTAGTTTAGAATGACTTAATTTTTCTTTCTCATATTTTCTCCCTTGAATCTGTTTTGCTACCAATTTGAATCCTTAGCTTATTTTTGAATGGTTCAGTACTTGGTACTTTGAATTTGAATTTGTAACATAACCCAAAGGACCGGGCAAGTTCTGTCTCATTGAGACAGAGACAGTATCCTAACCGGTTAATTTTAACAGTCTGGTTTTCTTGTTTGCTTGTTTGTTTTTGTCATGTAGCCCAGGCTGGCCTCAGACTCCCTACATAAGGTAAGAATGACCTTGAACTCCCAATCCCCTCTCTTCTTGCCAACACACTGGGGTTAGAGGCATGTGCCACCATGTCTGGCTGCATGGTGTCTTTTAAAGAATCCATCTCTTGAGTAACAAGGGAAGAGGAGGGGACGTATGCTCATCTGGCTCATGGGGGGATATGCAGAGAGTATGGTTCCTGCTAATGGAAAGATAATGTAAGAACGAGAGACAGTCTTAGAGGATCTGAGTTTCTTTAGAAATTAGGTGTCAGTGTTCCAGAACATCTGTGAGTTCCCTAGACAAACCTTAGTGGGAGAAGTGAGCCATAGAAGCTATCTAGAAAAATCAGGTCTGGGGAGAGTTCACTGACCCTACTTAGGAAAGGAACTGCCAGGAAAAAAATCTACGGCACTAAGCTAGGTGTGGTGGCTCATGCCTGTAATTTCAGCACTTGGGAGGCAAAGGCAGGAGGGTCCGAAGCTTGAGTAGGGAGTAAGTTCTCGAACAGCCTGAGACCTCATCTAAGAAGAAAAGAAAGTAGTTGGTAGCGCTCCTCTCCTCCCAGGGTTCACGTGTGGATCATTCAGATACAGTTCCAGGAAGCTGGGGTAATTAGAACGTTATCAATGTGCACAAATGGCTCAAGGGACGTTCCTTACGACATGAAGAGCATCCCCTAGTGCGGTGGTGGCAGAAGAATCAGAAGAAAACACTGCAGTGATGAACTGAGAACATTCTGAAGAAAACACTGCAGTGATCAACCGAGAACATTCTGAAGAAAACACTGCAGTGATGAACCGAGAACATTCTGAAGAAAACACTGCAGTGATGAACCGAGAACATTCTGAAGAAAACACTGCAGTGATCAACCGAGAACATTCTGAAGAAAACACTGCAGTGACCAACCAAGAACATTCTGAAGAAAACACTGCAGTGATCAACCGAGAACATTCTGAAGAAAACACTGCAGTGATCAACCGAGAACATTCTGAAGAAAACA